GGGGCAGCACACTGCATCTCCCTTGTAGACAGTTGGTGCAGTAACAACGATTGTCCACACGGGGGCAGCAGATTTAACGACCTGTGAGCTCAGTTGGAGCTGAAACAAGCTGCTACAGAAAAGTATGAAACACTCCACTCAATGAATCTGTATTATATAATTTCTTTTCTTTCTGTGACAGGTCTTAGTGTTTTTTCCCGTGTTTGTGTGTCTGTTAGCAAAATATTCCATGAACATCTCAACAAATTTTAAAGAAACTTGCAAAAAAAATTGATTTCTTGTAGTGTACAACTGATTAACCTTTGCGCTGAACCGGATTCAAGATGGCTGCCACAGCTACCTGACTTTAGAAAATACAAAAATGGTTATAATTTAGCCAGTTTTAGAGACGTTAGCTACAGTTTGATGGTTTTTCAGCAGAGAGTCATTTACAACATATACAAAGTGTTACTCACTGGGCGAGATCTTTGCTTAAAACTTTGGCCTTAAATGTTGAAGTCAACCCTGTTTGTCTGTTAGCAAAATATCCCATGAAATAATAGATGGATTTCAATGTAACTTTTATAAAATAATCACTATATGTGCATTTACAAATTATTAAATATTGGAGTCAGTCCAAATAAAGATAGCCGCCACAGCTAATAGACATTAGGCTTCACAACCGTATCTCTAACCCCAACAGTTTTACAGATGTTGAGCTATAATTTGACATGGTAGTAGCTGAGAGTCAGTCGCAAAACATGCAATGAGCGTGACATCTTGCAATGTGGTATAAAAGTTTGCATAAGGTTATCTTCAAGGTTTGGCTAAAAACGTCTTTTATTTCTGTTAAATGTATCATCTATTATATTTTATTTTTCACAAATAGGTTTACATGTGTTTATTACCATCAGATATTTATAATCAAAGTTGTTGTTTAATTAAAAGCTTGGGAATCAGGTCAATTTGCAGACGGCTGACACACTCATCGGTGCAAAATGTCCCCAGTAAACTTATTCTAAGCGGTCCCTCTGATGCCACACAGAGGCATAAAACCATCAGTGGTTGCCAAGGCAACTGTGCTTCTCAGCGTGTCAGGCAAACCCTCCTACCCACTGTGGAAAAAAGAGGATGTATTTTTTTAGGGATTTGTTTGGGGAAATATTTAATGGGGTCATAAAAAGCACTGGAAGAGAAAGAGAGAGATCTACAGATGAGAAGGAGTTGGCTTATTTTTATCCTGTTTTTGCCAAACATGATTTCAGCCCTCAGATGAAAAGGTGGTAGAGGAAGAAAGATAAACAGCTGTAGCTGCTGGATCTGCAGCGGCTCACGTGTTTTATTTGACTGTGAACGAGTGATAATAGCAAATGGAAATGGCAGCTGCAGTGCAGCGTTTCATCCTACAGCACAACTCCTTCCACTTTTTAAATACATTTAGTTTTATTTTTCATGTAAGTTCTTAAATTTTGTCTTTCTGTTCATGTCACTTTTAAGTTGCTCTTAACCTAGTTACATTTCAAATACCCATGTGCTGATGGGGTTAGATAAAAGTAATTTTTAAATAAATATGAATGTTTACAATTCCTGGTTTCTTTTTGTCTAGACAGACCGTTGCATTATGAACCAAATGTCAGGATGTTTATCAGGACCAGGTTTATTTTTAGATTCAAAAATAATTTTAACCTTTTTTTTCTTTTAGTTTCTTTCATGGATGCAAACAAAGAGTCACGCTGACTTCACTTTCCAGGCAAGAGGAAATCCACATTTCTTGGACTTTACTACATGGGATACACATCAAACACAGATTGTTTTAGGGGGAGGGAGCATATTTAATGTGTTAAAAGTATTAGGTGTTGTAATGAGCTCCAGTCTGACTGGAACATTTAAATCAAATGAGGGAAAAGAAGAAAAGAAGCAAATGAATCGGAGGGAAATGTGCAGGTCATGTAATGAATTTTCAGATGTAAATTGGGTAAAACAAGAATATATGCAGCTATTTTACGAGGTGTCAGTATGACATTTTACTTATGCATAAAATGTTGTGCTTTTAATTTCAAAAGGCAAGATTCAGGTTTATATGTGTGTGTTCACACTGTCAACCATTTTTATTCAAAGTTTCAGATCTTCTCTTGATGCTAAAGCTGCTTTAACCTTAGAAATGTCTGACCCTGTATGTCGCACATCTGATTGCTCCATCAACATGTTGAGCTGTATGTAAAAACCTGAAAATGAATTATATGAGTAACTGGACAAATTGCATCTCCTGCAAAAATACAATGTGAATGCTTATTGTTGAAGACATTACTGAGAAACAACTGAATGCAACTTAAAAATAGCTGAAATGTAGCTAAAATAGAAGAACAAGACTAAGTTAGCAGAACAAAGCAGAAAGAACAAATATTTGCTGAATTAGGTTTAAATAAGCAATGAGCATAAAAATTTGGAAATCTGTTTAAAAAGCTGAACCTGGAAAATAAACAACAAAAACAAATTGAAAAATAGCTGAAAAGGCAGAAAGAAGCTTAAACTCCCAGAAGGAAGAGTTGAAACTAGAAAAATTAGCTGGAAAAGCTAAAAAAAAAAAAAAACAGCTAAAAAGTAGCTGAAATAGCAGAAAAGGCTAAAACTACGAGTAGTAAAAAAAAAAGCTGAAAGGAGCATAAGCTGAAATTAGCAGAAAGAAGTTTATTAGACTGAAAGTAGCTGAAATTACACGTAAAACTTGAATTAATTCGAAAACAACTGATATTATCTTAAAAATGTCACTAAAACGTAGCTGAAAAGATAGAATAAGCATAAATTAGCAGAATAAAGTAGAAAGAACATGTTTGCTGAAAGAAGCAGAAATTAGCACAAAAAGTGGAAATTATCTGAAAAAAGCTGAAATTAGCAACAACAGCAACAAAAATGCTGAAAAGTAGCTAAAAAGGCAAAAATAAACTTAACTTGCCAGAAGGAAGCGGAGAAAACACATTTTTGTTGAATTAGGCTGAAAAATGTTTAAATGAGTGCCAAAAATGTGGAATTGGCTGAAAAAGCTAAAATTAGCATAAACAGCT